TCCTTGACATGGCTCAGACCCCGGCCGGACCACTCTGACTGGGCTCCACAGCGACAAAACTGCCCGCGGAACTCGGAGCTCTCGGCGCCTCGAGGCGCTCCAGCCTCCGATTGAGCTTGCCCAGGGCCTTCGGCATCTCCTTCTGTACCTGGCGGTTGGCTGTCAGCTCCTCCTGGTGGGCCGATAGCAACGTCTCCTCGTCGAGCTCGTCCTCCATCATCGCGTCCATTGTGCGCCGGCGAGATGACCTCGCGCCCCCTCGTCCCCTGGTAGGCTCCACTGGAGCTTCCACCGGGCCCTTGGTCATCTCCTGGACTACCTTCATCTCGTTGAGCCGCGAGACAAATCGGTTGAGCTCCCAGCTGCGGCTCGGTGCTGGCCTCCTTCTGGGCCCACTCGGCGTAGGACGGGTACTGGATCCGGACCTGCTGGTACGTCAGGGCCCCGTGCTTGCCGAAGCCCATGACGTCCGTCGGCGCGGGCTTCGTCTGCATCAGCACGGCCTTGCGGATCTCCAGCTTCATCGCTGCGTTCGTCATGTTCGGCGCGAGGTGGGCTCCGACCTCCTCTGCCTTCTGGGCCAGCTCCTGCTTCTCCATGGTGCTGATCCCCTTCAGGGTCCTCTGAGAGGCGCTCTCGCCCCTCGGGAAGAGGGCCTCCTTGATGGTGTGCCTCAACTCGTCCATCGACCAGGCCGGGCTGAAGGGCTAACCCAGCTCTTCGATCAGCTCCACCGCCTCCGCCTTGTGGAGACGATGCACCTCCCTGCGGGAAGCTGGCATTCCCCATCTCGGGCTTGCACCTGCAGGCGGCGTTGACGCAGGCCAGCTGGGGCGCTCCTCCGACGAAGCTGCCGCCGAACATCTGGCTGCCATCTGCTGGCAGCGGTCGAGTATATGTAGGTTCTGGGGGTGCAGGCCGCACCGCGTCGATCAATCCAGATGCTGGAGATCTCGCTGGGCTCGAGCCAGAACGGCTATGGATGCCCTGCTGGTCCCTCTCCGAATCTGTTCGTGGCCTCCCGGGGTCTCGGACTGTTCGGGAGCATTCTCCATCTTCCTCGGACTGGTCGGCTCCGAACGGCACCTGCCCCATTAAGGCGGCCGGATCCGGTCTGCCCCGCTCAGAGACGTGCTGGCTGATCTTACTGAAGTTCTGCAATTTGACGGGGCCCTGCACTCGGTGCTCTAGGATGTCGTCGACCAGGTTCATGTAGCAGTGTCCGCCATCGGGCGACTCCTCCAGCTGCACGGGGATATTCGGGGCAAGCTTCACGAACACTGCGGCGCCCGTGTCGCAGTCAATGACCGCCCCTAGCTTCTCGAGCACCTTCTTCGACACGAGGATCGGGACATCCTTCGCGAACCCGTTGATCGCGATGCCCCCCTCGTTGCCCGCGCCCGCGATCCCGAACTTCACCTGTCCGTAGGCGCGCTCCTTCTCCCCGTTCCCGAAGCTGCACACTGGCTGGTAGCTGAGGCTCACGTCGCGGAGCCTCGTGCCGGCATACTTCTCCAGGTTCTTGCGGCCGCGATGTCGAGCGCACGCTCGCCACCCATGGTGTCCGCGCAGCCTAAGTCGACGATCCCCTTGCCCTCCAAGATGGCCTGCTCAGCGAACATCGCCTCGCTCGGTGAGTCCCCAGACTCCTGCTCGGCGACCGTGGCGGCCACTAGGTTGAACTTCAGCTCCTTCGTGCGGGTGGCCATCTTTGCGCTCGCCTCGGGTGCGTTGTTCATCTTGGTGCCGAGGCGAGGATCGTGGCGGTCAGGGCAATCCTGGAGCCAGTGACCACCTCCACACTTCGGGCACTTCTTCTGTCCCTTGTTCGGGGGTTGAATCATCCCCCGGCCTCCATACTGGTTGCCCATCGGCCGACGAGATCAGATCCCGCTGGGAATCCTCCGCCGGCTCCTCGGCCACCACCTTTCGCCTGACTCCCTGGCCGGCCCCCGCGGTAAAAGCCGCGGCTCAGCCTGCTGTCAGCTTGCGCTTCGCGAGCCTGGCGAAGGGCACGCTGGGCCGTGCGAGTGGCAGCCAGTGCCTCGGCCTCCTCCTGCTGGGCGGCCATGTACGACTCGATATCCTCATCATTGGCTGCGGCCATGTCGGGTTCCTCTTCGAATTCCTCGTGCCCCTGCTCGGCTGCGAAGCTGCCCGCACCCTGCTCCACGTCCTCCTCGTCGAGCCAGGTGCGGTCATCATCTCCCATATGCGCCGTGTAAGCCTTCGGGTATCTGGCGTGTCCGTCTCGCTCTGCCAGGTCGTCACCCTCCCAGGTCAAGATCAACTTGTCGCGGATCGCGATGGCCTCCAATGAGCCACCAATGGCGGTCAGAATGGCCCGCTTTCTCCCTGGAATCCAGGCCCGCACGCGCGAGCATCAGCCAACCGCGCACGATGCTCGGGAAGACCTCTGGCATATCGTCCAGCTCCTCCTCGGCGTCATCGTCAATGGTGGCGCTCCAGATGCACGAGCCTGTCTCCTCTTCTCCTCGGCCGTCGGTGTACTCCCACGTCCAGCTCGGCCCCTCGTCGTTCTCTTCATTCTGCACTTCGACCCATCTCCATTGTCTGGGGGCCCAGCTCGACGTCGAGGGGGGGCTCGGAGTCGGGTGGCCGAGTGCACGCGCCAGCGCGCGTCGCAGGTACTGGCGCCCGGTCTCGAATCTGTCCGTCCACTGTTGCATGGGATCGAGCTTTCTGCGCCTGGTCTTTATCAAGAACGTCTCCAGCTCCTGTCCCACGTCCGGGACCGCCTGGCGCGAGCATTGGCGCTCCAGCCACGCCAAGAGTCGCCCCACCCCGTCATCTCTCGAGAGCCAGCCTGACTTACATCGCTCCACTGCAACCTCAGCTCTGCCCGTGAGCTTCGCCTCGAGCCTCGGGCCACACAAGTACCTGCCTTGTCTCTTCGTGCCCTCCTGGTACTGGAGGGCCTTCAGTCAATATGTCCGTTAGGTCTTTGGATCTCCATCCCAGCCTGGCACCTTATCGCCGCGATGCTCTTCCTTCATCGCGGTTTTCCGTGGATTTTCGTGTCGTCAACCACGAGCTCCGCTACCATGCAAGTCGCTGGCGGAATACGCACAGCGCCTCAAACTCGTTTTCCTCTCTCGCGGTCGGCCGTCCGACCGGGCTCTGCTCACAGAGCCTCCATCAAAACATGTGCCCGCGAGCACAAGCGAGGGGGCGCTCGCTTGACAGAAATGGCAAACGGCAACAGAAAACCTGCAAACAGATAGTCACATACGCACGTGCATGCACAACGGCTCCATCACGGACCCGTGCCCCTAGAACTTACCCCAGAAAACTCAAGAGCCTCGTAGGGTACACCACTTTGGGCCCCGCACCTAAGGACCTGTACGCACGGTGGCTCATATGTGTCACGTAATATGGATGACCTGCTCAGGCTTGCACTCTGAAACTTGCACCGCTAGGCCTCTTTGGGCTCGGCTCTCTTGAAGCCATGGTGGGGCCCTCTTGGGAGTCCCTGAAGTGCTCCTTGGGTCCTCCCTGAAGGCCCCTCGGGTCCTTGGGGGCCATGTATCCAAGGCCCTTTAGGTCACCTCTTTGGGCCCCCGCGCGCGCATTGCAGGCCCGCCCAAGGAGCGCCGCCGCAGGGCCCTCTCAGGGCCCTCTTGGGGTCATCTTGCGGGAGTTATGTGGGTGCCATCTGGTGGTTCCCATGGTGCTCAAAAGGGGTGCCCAGGGGGCCCCATTGCGTCGCGAAGTGTGGCGTCGGACTCCTTTATGGCTGCGTGTAAGAAGCGCCGCGCATCTCGTGCGTTCGCCTGGCAAGCCTGAAGAACGTGGCCTGGCCGCGGGAACCTCTGCGCAATGGATGGCAACGGCTGGTGGAGCTGGCCAGTCAACGTTTCAAATATTTGGCGCGACCCCCCCTTCACATTGATTTATGTGGACCGCCCTGAACCACTAACTTACGACCCCTACATGTCCTCCTCCTACAGGCGGAGCTTGGGCGAATAATGCAAACTGGCAAAACATCTGCTCAAACAGAATCCAACCATCATCGAAACATGGTCGAACATAGTCAACAATGATATTAGAGCATCGCACACACAACAACAGACATCATAATCAGACACATACTCGCAACGTGCGCGAAGACATCGTCCACAGACTCCCTCATGCAGAGGGCCACGCCCCGACTCAACCGCAGTTCTTTTAGACACGCCCCGCGGGGCTTTGGTGCAAAAGTGCCATGTATTGACTACCTACCAGACCACCCCAACCCAACCCGAAGACCCGAATTTCGGGTTGGGGGGGTAAGGGTTCCACATGCGTTGTTTCGATGTTTCGCGACCCCCCCCCCCCACTGGGAATCGAGGGTAAATCTGAGCCTTCGGGTTGGGTTGGGGTGGTTTGGTAGGTTGTGATGTATGCGGTGCGGCTGGGGCACACGGCACGCCCGCGCCTGACGGTCATGTTGCACAGCACGGGGGACGCGCGCAGCGCGGCACGACGCGGCGACACGATGCCACGGCACGCCGCCCGCTACGACGCCACCTGCAGCACGCAGGAGGAAGAGGGGAGGAGGAGGAGGCGGAGGAGGAGGCGGAGGAGGAGGCGGAGGAGGAGGAGGAGGAGGAGGGAAAAGTATGGCAGTGGTGGTCGAAAAGTGGCCCATCATCTCCGAACATGACGCGACAGAGTATTGCACGGCGCAGGCACGGCAGACGGCTGACGCCAGTGCGACACCTACGACGGCAAGGCCCAGCGCGACACCGAAGGCACGGCAAGGCATGCGCATGGCGGGGCAGGAAGGATTCAGGCTGCATCAGGCCCCCAAGGCTGCAGGCGATGCCTCTACCAGGACGGCCGAGGACTCCAGGAGGCTGGCGACAATCCCGTCAGTCTGGCGTGGCTCTCGCCAGTTCCACCCCTGTGATCCTCCCCTAGATCTTGTCAGTAAGTCTCGACGACACCGAACAATGTCATATCGCACGACCGCGCCATGCTGTACAAGATTGTGCTATTTACCGCGCGGGGCCGCAAAGATCGACGAGGCCAGGCAAGCCCATCCACGAGCACACGGGGCCGTAGCGGGACAACGCCCGAACAGAGCAGTCTAGCGCAGAGTGAGCCGTGCGCGTGCCGCCGTCTCTGCCTCTCCGCGGACCGCGGGCCGATCGGCTGCACAAGGGGGCCTCGATTCGGGGAAAAGAAACAGCAAACACCGTTATATCAAGGACGTCAAGGCGGGTTCCGAACATCCATAGGTAGCTGAACCCCCCGATGGACATGAAGCAGAGGATGATGGGACGCGCGGCAGTGAACCGGGGGGGCGAAGATGAAGGTAAGCAGCGACACGCTTCAAGCACCGACTGCGAAATGGACCAGGCAGGACCAGATCGTTCATCAATGAACTTAACCGAAGCGGCACTGCACGCATGGCACAATGCCCGATCACAGCGGTTTCAACTGCAAACGGCAAATTGAACCAGAGACCCCACAGCAAGTCAGCGATACGCTGATCGCTGAATGAACTCATGTGAACAAACAAAGCACTCTTAATGTTTACACCGCGTGCGCGTTCACACGTTCAAGCATGGCCTCAGTTCCAGAACTCACGAATCCGCGTCCACATCGACGCTTCAGTTCCGCATGCACGGGACTCGATTATTAAACGGTGTCGTCAGCGTGGGTGTAGCATTGTACTGTATGTGTACGTGCACATGCGCACATCTAAACCAGCTCTAGAAACGTGACCCGCGCATCGCGAACGCCCAACGTATGCCTTAATGTCTAGCGCATCCTGCGGAAATAGGAGCACACACAGATTGAAGGGAGGGCCCATATGTTTTGGATCTTCGTTTCCCCCCCCCACTTCCCATACTTTCCCATATTTTCTTGGGAATCGACGATGAATTGTGTCTGTGTTCCCCTCCTGATTATGGACGGCCCCGGGGTCTGGCGGGACCCTCTCTAGATGCCGGAGACGGCGAAACACCTCAGCTTTGAAAGATCTGTCAAATCCGCCCGGAAATTATTTCATACCCCCAAGCCCCTTAGGGCGAGCGAGGGTCCTCGTCGTGGGTCCCCTCCTTGGGACGCGGTTGCTGTATACTGAGACTTGCCCCCGGCGGTGGAATTTGACTGGGCCGGGAGGGCGTGGTATACAAAACAAATATCATGGCGAAAGACCCAACCATATGCAGTTGCGAAACTAGCGTTGTGGGTGCCGCTTCCGGTGGGCCAGTCAACGCGCGAGGGGCGTGCCATAGTGGGTGGGGGAGACGCATGCGCGCGGTGCTGCAGGGGCCTTCGGTAGAGCTCCTTATGGGGCCACGATGCGATGTACTGGGTGTGGCGGACGCATGCGGGCGGTGCCATTGGTGCTCTCACTGGAGCTCCCTATGGGGCCACGAACCGCTGTGCTGGGCATGGCGGGCGCATGCGGGCGGTGCCGCCGGGGCCTTCGGTGGATCTCCCTGTTGGGCCACGGAACGCTGTGCTGGGTGTGGCGGCCGCATGGAGGTGGTCCCTCTGGGGCCTTCGGTGGAATTCCCTATGGGGCCACGAAGCGCTGTACTGGGTGCGGCGGACGCATGCGGGCGGTCCCACTTGGACCTGCGGTGGGGCTTCCTACGGGGCCACGAAGCGCTGTACCGGGTGCGGCGGGCGCATGCGAGCGGTCCCAATTGGACCTGAGGTGGAGCTCCCTGTGGGGCCACGGGGCGCTGTACTGGGTGTGGCGGGCGCATGCGGGCGGCCCCACTGCGGCCTTCGGTGGATCTCCCAATGGGGCCACGACGCGCTGTACTGGGCGTGGACAGCGGACGCATGCGGGCGGTGCCGCTGGGGCCTTCGGTGGATCTCTCTATGGGGCCACGAAACGCTGTACTGGGTGCGGCGGACGCATGCGGGCGGTCCCACTGAAGCCTTCGGTCGAGTTCCCTATGGGGCCACGAACCGCTGTACCAAGTGTGGCGGACGCATGCGGGCGGTCCCACTGGGACCTTCGGTGGAGCTCCCTCTGGGACCTAGAAGCGCTGTGCTGGGTGTGGCGGACGCATGCGGGCGGTCCCACTGGTATCTTCGGTGGAGCTCCATATGGGGCACGAATCACGAAACGCTGTATTGGGTGTGTCGATGTGTGACGATGATGGTGATGACGACGATGTAAATGGCGAGTCTTGATGGTGATGATGCGGATGATGATCATTGTGATGACGCTGATGATGACGATGATGGCGATGATGCTGCTGATGCGGAAGATGATGATGATGATGCTGATGATGATGATGATGATGATGATGAAGATGGTGATGTTGATGGTGATGCTGGTGATTTGTTCTCGACATCAGGACCAAACTGTTGAGCAACAGGCTTTAGAGAAAAAGGTGGTCCGCCGCAGAGAGCTCGATTGCTCCCCAAAGAGCTCGCTAGGAGTCGTGCTTCACGGGGTGCTGCACACATGTGCGCGCGGTCCAAGGAAAACCGTACACATCTGGCGATGCCCGCGATGCATGCTGAGCGTTGGGAGGATCGGAGGCTGGAGAAAGGACCATGATGCGAGGAGGGATGATGGGGCAGCGGGAGGAGGAGAAACGCGGGGCGCTGTCTCATCAAAACGAAAACCCAACACCACAGGATGGTTGGGAATTGCAGAAAGTAACCCCATTCAGTGGATAGTTTGAAAATTACTAAAACGGACATTGAGATCAATTGGGGCAACGATAGTGGGATCGATAGTGGGATCGAAAGTGAGGACGATAGCAGAGTCGTTTGTGAAACTGAAAATGAAGTGGATTTAGCGAAATCCATAATGAGATCGATGGTGAGATCGACCTTGCGATTCATAGTGATATCGATCGAAAGTGATATCGATAGTGAAACCGACTGTGAGATCGAAAGAGAGATAAGCAATGATATCGATAGTGAGACCGATCGATAAGGAGATCGACCAGGAACCTGGGAAGCCAAAACCCAGAAACCCCGCCGCCGCCCACCGAAATCGGCAGGGAACCAGCAACCTGGAACCCGAGAACCTGGAACCGGGAACCCGGCCGCCCACCGAAATCGACCGCCCACTTTCGCCAACTCCCTCGAGATCCGCTAGGACCACTGCAGTGCAAGCACTGATTGAGGAATCTTGGGGATCAAGACGTTTGATCTCTGGTCCCCAGCCCAGACCCCGACGTCATGATGTTTTCATGACGTCGACCCTCAGAGGTCTCTCGACCCGTTCCCCAGGACCGGATTCTCGTGCCGAACTGTTGTTTCTTGACGGTCCCGAGGCCCGGTAGGGCCCCCCAGAGCGAAACAAAAGTCCGATGCGTTTTTTTCATGGCTCGACGGCGTCTGGTAGCGGCGCGTTGCGGGTCCTCGCCCCCGCGGGCGGCCGGGAGGGCCGCCGGGCGCGGCGGGGCGGCGGCGGCGGGCGGGGGCGCGCGGCGCGACAGGGCACTGAGGGCCCGCTGCAGGGAGCCCAGGGGCACCTCGGTGACGCTCACGGCCAGCACGGCGGAACCTCGGGAGGGCCACAGGGTCGAGGCAGCTGGCGGGTTGGGGGCCGCGTCTTCGGACCCCACGGGGACGACCGTGGGGGCTGCTTTGGGGATCGGGGGGTTACGAGTGGATGCCAGGGCATGGGTTGTATCTGGCCCACCCTGGCTTAGAAGTGAGCTACAAGAGCCCCAAGCAGCTCACGGGGGTTAACGACCTGGGCCAAGTGGGCTCCGCCCACTTAGTGGAATAATCTGAGCCCCCTAAGACAATCAGGGAAATTGTGACTCTCTTATAATACAGGTTGGGCCAGATGTAACCCACCTTGGCACCCACTTGTAGCACCCCTATCCACTTAGCACCCCCCGCGGCGATCCCAGCAGCTGGCGGGTTGGGGGCCGTGTGCTCGGACCCCAGGGCAATCGGAATCGGATCTGGGGCGATCCACCACGAGGCAGGGGTCGGGAGCTCCTTGGGGCTGCGGACAGCGGCGGACGTCAGGGACCGAAGGTCGTGGCGGCGGACGTCAGGGACCGAAGGTCGTCAGACACGGGCGCTGCTAGCGTTTCCGCCGGCGGGCGTCTAGGGTTCTGGTCGAGATGCTTCGCGATGGCGCAGTGCTTTCGCAACGCCAGCTCTTGGGGAAGGTCGAGGCAGCGAGGATCCTCCTCCTCCTCCTCCTCCTCCTCCTCCTCCTCCTCCTCCTCTTCCTCCTTCATCCCTCCTTCCCAGACATGCGACGCCCGGATTTTTGTCAGGACACCGCCCCTGGAAACCCCGGCCCTCTCCCCGGGACCCGCTGGTCGTCCTGCACCGCTGTGCGACGGTGACGAGGCCGGGCGAGGGATCCCCGGGGCCGGAATTGGCCAAGACCCCCCGTCCTGTTTTTTTTTTTTTTTTTTTTTTTTTTTTTTTTTTTTTTTTTTAATATTATTATTATTTATTATTATTTATTTATATTTATTTATTTTATTTATATATATATAAATAAAAAAAGATGCGATCACGTCTGGGCTCTCCTCCTCGTTCCTCCCTGCTCCTGCTCCTTCTCCACCGCCTCCTCCTCCGCCTCCTCGGCTTCGAGCTGCAGGCAGGCCATCGCAATGGAATCCGTCTATATATATAGAGAGAGATACACACACGTATATATATAGACATATATATATACACATACATATATGACTGCACATGTGTGTATCGATGTACGTATGTATGTATGAATGTATGTATGTATGCATGCATGCATGCATGTATGTATGTATGTATGTGTGTATGTATGTATGTACGTATGTATGTATGTGTGTACGTATGTATGTATGTATGCAAGTATGTATGTATGCATGTATGTATGTATGCATGCATGTATGTATGTATGTATGTCTGTATGCATGTATGTGTGTATGTATGTGTGTATGTATGTATGTATGTATGTATGTATGTATGTATGTATGTATGTATGTATGTATGTATGTATGTATGTATGTGTGTATGTTTGTATGCATGCATGCATGCATGCATGCATGCATGCATGTATGTATGTATGTATGTATGTATGTATGTATGTACACATATATATATATATATGTATCATGGCTCTGGCGGTGGGCCCTCGGCCGCGCCACGGGCCCAAGCCAAGAAACGACTCGGGCCGAGATCTCTCTGAGGGGAGGGGGCCTGCGTTGGGGAACGTCCTGGGCCTGCAGGACCCCCCCAGACATGACCGCATCGTATGAAACATCAGAGAGGGAGATGTTCGGCCATCTTCGGCCTCGGGGGGGGCCGGCCAGGGACGCCGTCCTGAAAAGATCAGGACGTCGCATGTCTGGGCCTGAGATCTGGGCGTCGCGATCTGGTTCGCGGCCGGGCCCCCCGGCGCGCCGGGTTTCGGGCCCCGGGGCCCTCATGGAGGGATCTGGCTCGAGGAGTGCCGCGGAAAGAGGGGGCCATGATCTCCTGTCGTGGTTTCCCATGGTGTTGCATGTTGTTCCGCGACGTCGATCCCAGGGCCTGACTTTAACTCGCCACGTGAAGTGGAATTCGTCGCCTCCTGGCGGTTCACAGCTTAATTTCTGCTAGAAGAGATCTGGGAGGAGTGAGACGAGGAACGCCAGAGGAAGACCCATGGAAGGATGGAACTTCGAGCCCCCTCTGAGACCCGAATCCCAGAGTGCTGACAGCACCTGGCATGCGAGGTGGCCGCCCTGTAAGAGCCCCCCAGCCTGGCGGGCTGGAGGGGGGTGCAGGGCCAGGGAGCACCAGGGACCCTGACATCCTCGCGTCGTGGAGAGAATCACGACGGAACGCTGCGGTGAGGGCATTGGATGGGGAACCATTGGGTGAGGAATCCAGCGTCTAGGAGCCAGTGGAACACCCATGTTGTGGTTTGGCCATGGGCACCACCGCCGCTCTCACAGGATGGAACGACCCCCCCCAGAGTCAGAAGCCTTCCGGGCACACTCCTTCACGAACGCCCATCCGTATTTGCCAGCTTGGGCCTCGGGGGGCCTTCGCCCGGCTTTGGGAAAGCCACACTCGCCATCGCTCGGACGTCCATTCCCTGTGTTTTTGTTCGGTTTCGTGCGTGGTTTTTTCGCCAACTGATCAAGGATGCTCCTTGAAGGTCCTTGCCGAAGAAACAATGCACACGTCCGAGCGATGCCAAGCACAAACCCAGGATGAGGGACTCGTCTCTGGGAGGAGGTCCGGACCTCTGGAGGGCCACGTCCGGTCGACGTCGGATGCCTGGGGAGGCCATGACCCAGACATCTGGGCCGGTGTTTTGCCCTGGAGAAATCGGGGATGGACAGACCTTTGTGGGCCCCGGAAACAGCAGGGCCGTTGTTTCACCGTTTCCAGCAGAATGCCCCTTGAAAGTGGAAACGGCAAAAAAACGGCGACCGGAAACGGCAAAAAAACGGCTCCGGGATTGGAACCGGAGCCGGAACCGGTCAAAAAACGGCGACGGAACCGGTAAAAAAACGGCGTCGGAACCAGCGAAAAAACGGCAAAACGGAACCGGTAAATAAACGGCCCTGTCGTTTCCAGGGCCCACTAAGGGACAGACCCCCCTTAATTTAGTAAAACGTGGTTTAGTGAAACGACCTGAGGCCCAAACCTGGCGGGCGCAAGCCTGGAAAATAACGGCCACGGCGCCCTCTCGAGAACCGAAAACGGACAATTCACTAATCGACGTGTCACTGTTGGAGGTTCTGTCCACCCCCGAGAGAATTTTCTCATGGCCAGCAAAACCGAGGCTGGCCTCTGGAAGCCACAGGTGGCGACAAGCCGGCAGCGCCGACATCTCTCAGGGCGCCCTGGTGTCTGGGAAAATCCCAAAGGCCCCACACAACGCCCACACATCTGCACCCTTGAACCCCCAGTCCAGAGCGTCCAGCGCAGCGCTTCTCACAATGCGGCTCTCCAGAAGTCTGGGACTCTTCCCGAACACCCGCGGTTCATCCTAGGCCGTTTTCTGACGGCCGCGGGACCCTGCGACGGTCCCACGAGGTTAAACTGTCCCAATCCATCCGTTCGTGATTTTCTTTCGCCGAGGGTGTTCCTTGTCATCCTCCGATGTGGCTGTTTCAATCCGCGGCCCCTCGACCCCTTCCCTGGGGATGCCTGTTCGTCCCGAGTCAATTTCTGGTGGCCCACGGGGCCGATACCCAAATCATCTGTGCCCGAAATCTTGCAGTCACGCTCTGGACGATACGGTCGCGACCGAAATTCTGCCTCCCGTCGCGAATTCCAGTGAGGATCGAGCCATCGACATCTTCGACACCCTCGCTAGGACCCCGACGAGCCGCCTCTCGTTTCCGAGATGCGAGCCCCTCTGGTCGCGACCGAACCTGGCGCGACCGAACTCCGGTACCGAACATGCGTAATTACGGTCGCAGACTGTCTGCGCACCGGGCCCGGACGGCGGAGGGAAAAGCAGCAACGACAACAGAGAACAGACCTGAGGCAAAACTAGCGGAACAAAAAGTGACATAAACAGAACAACTCGGAGGTCCGCGCGGATTCCTCGGATCGGCGCTGGACCCCCCTCCCCAGCGCGCGGAGCGCGCCAGGGCCGGAGCAGGAGGCGCCGCCGGGGGGCCCCAGCGCCGATCCGAGAAATCCGCGCGGACCTCCGAGTTTTTAAATGTATGCCACTTTTTGTTCCCCTAGAATCGGCTACACGCAAGAGTGACCCTGGGTAAGAGTGACCTTTGGTGCGCGGCTTCTTGGGGGCCGCGAGGGACCAAACCTGGGCGCGCAAGCCGCTGCTCTTGCTTCGTTTCCAGTCATCTGGGGACCCATCTGTGCCCGCACCAAAGGTCACTCCGGCGAAAGGTCACTCTTACGTCTAGTCGATAAAAGCAGAAGCAACACACACAGCACCAGCAACAGCAACAAGCATGCCTTCGACACTCTGGCCCCGACCCTGCGGCGGCGGCGGCGCGGCGCCGCCCGCCCCCGACCCCCCCCCCCCCGCGGGGGCCTCCGCCGAGCAGCGCCGCGCCGAGGCCGAGGGAGGCGTCGAGGCTGTCGCCGACCGAGGAGCCGAAGCGCTCCCGCGGCGGCGAGAGCTCCAGCTCCGCCCGCTCGACCTGGGCATGTCTACAGTCGGTGCCCTGAAGAAGGAGCCCTTTTCGTTGGGGAGGGGCTCCGTGTTATCCCGATCCGATGTTGTCCCGATCTTCGCGTCGTTTTACGTTGGTGAACCAGGCGATGATCTCCGGATCAAACAATCTGGGGATGGGGCCAGCCGAGGGGCCACGGAAAACAGTTCACTTCAACAGTCTGTGTGTGTGTGCTTCTGCCGCTCCTTTTTGGAGCCATGCGCTCACCCATTGCCTACAGTCGGTGCCCTGAAGAAGGAACCCTTTTCGTTGGGGAGGGGCTCCGTGTTCCTTAATCGTTTCGCAGCTTGCCTTAGGTTTCCCTTAGGTTTTCGGTACGAAATCGAAGTTGGACTTATGGAAAATAGGGGCCTCGTTCCTTATTTAGGGTTCCTTAGGTCAACGCCCCGACTGTATGGGGAGCGAGCAGTGAAACAAACACGACAACTCGGAGGTCCGCGCGGGTTGCTCGGCTCGGCGCTGGTCCTCCCTCCCTGGCGCGCTCCGCGCGCCAGGGGCGGCGCCGGAGACGCCGCCAAGAAGGTCCAGCACGAATCGGAGAAATCCGCGCAAACCTGCGAGTTGTTATGTTTGTCATTGCTCGTTCCTCTAGATTTCGGACGCCCTGAACGCAAAAACGCTGTCATCTCTTGGGGGCACATCTTTTACTTCCGCCGCCTCCCGCCGAACTTCCGCCAGCTTCCGCCGGCTACCGCTGGTGGAGGCGGCTTCGTTTTGATTTCCGCCGCCTTCCGCGGCGGAAGAGATGGCCTGAAAGGCAAGGCCCTTTCTGGAGCACGGGCTCATGCACGCAAATCCCCGGAGCACCGGCGCATCTCGCTGCGAGACTCTACCCTAGAGAGGGGGGCCCAGGATGTCCCAGGCACGCTCGCGCCGTGACAAAAATCACGGCGGGAGGTTCTTGCCAATTTCGGCCCCTGACGGCCCTCCCCGGGCTCCAGGACCGTCGGAAACCGGCTTGAGATGAGAAGCCAGCCCTTGGAAAAAGGGCGGGACTCCCGGGACCGCGTGCCGAAAAACCAAAACATCGGACGTCTGGGCCGGTGCGATGCCGGACCGTGCGGCGACCTCGAGATCCCAAGAGGCCTCACCGCACAGTCTGCCACAGCACGGTTCGGGGACCCTGGAGGCCCCAGCCGTCTGAGACATCCTGGGAGAACGACCGAAGTCCCACCCGTCCTCTCTTCCCTTGTTTTAGGGGCTGCCCTACATTGGGAAGCACAGAGACATACGAATACTATACGTCCTCCTTGGAGGCGCGCGTCCGACCCGAACATATAGTATACCCGTCTTGTCGTATATCGTTTTCCGAGCGGTGTGGCCAGAAAGCGCCCGCCACGAGGCATATATTATAAGATTTCTCGGTGCGCGCGTCGCCGCTGGTGGGGCGACGCACAAATAGTAGAATCATGTTGCGGTGACGCCGATAAATGCACGTGGCAGGTAAGGCAGATATACCCCCTAAGGGAGTGTGTTGGCCCTGTTGCACGCCATGGTCGCAGTCCGCGACGAAGGACCGCCCCCGGGGACTGGGCCAAGGCCTCTGGGGCCTACGGGTTGAACAAAAGTTCTGTCGATCGGATGTCTAGGTTTTGGGAGCCTTCGGAAGCCTTCGGAGGCCAAATAAGCCCTTCGTAGGCCCCCAGCGCCCTTCGGAAACCCTCGAAGGCCCACGGAGGCAATCGGCAGGTGCTGGCTGGAGAAGGGCTCGCCGTCGTCGACGACGGCATTGTGGTCTTGGACAATTTTGTGCGCTTCGGGGAGCGCGGTATCGCCAAGGCTGGACGCGGCTGGAATTGATTTGCTGTCTTGAGGAGCTCAATGCAGCGCAATGGATTGCACTGCGTTGCGCTGCTTGACGCTGCTTTGCTCTAGTGTGCTATCCATTGCCTTCAGTTGTCACGCCTTGAACGCCATTGGTTCGTAGTGTCATCAATATACTGAAATTGTTCAGCACCTATTACGATACACTGCGCTGCTGCGTTGCATTCGGTTGTCCTGCTCTGCGCTGATGGCCTTCCATGGTCTTGCACCGTGCGATGTTCCATTTCATTTGATTGCATTCCGTTGCTCTCAATGGGAGGTCCTCGAAGTAAGGGGGCACACCAAAGACCAAACAAGAAGGTGGAAACCCCCAAGTCATCCGGCCCCAATGCGTAACACCCACCAGCCCAGTGACACTACATAATGCATGACCAAGTCGGTGAAGACCGACCTAATGGGTAAAGAAGGACAACATGCTTAATGAGACCAACCGAACAAAACCCAAATTAACACCGACTGGGACTTGCTGAAAACGTGGAACGAAAGGCTAGAGCTGTAGTTAAAGCTACTGCTCAACGGGAAGGTAATGACGTGGCGATTGGATTCTCTAACGGCAGTTGCATTACGTGTAACTGACTCTGGCAGTCTCAGCGCCGCCTAGGACTGAAGCAAAAAATGAAACCTTGAAGTGCCCGTGAGTAGATATAGCATGTCAGGAGAAAACTGTTGAACTGAGCGGCGCACCCGAACCACCCTCTAAACGACTCGAGTGAAGAGAAGCTCCTGGCTCGCCAAGAGGCGGAACACCTGCGCGCGTTACACTGCCACAAAAGGCCATTGCGAGGAGGTTTTCTGCCGCTATGCCCAACTTGGCAAGGCAACTGAAACGTGTCCCTCCAGTTCAAGTCTCAGCCAGGATGGGCTAGGCCTAAGCGCTGGAGATAGGGCAATACCAGCGAGGCTGAGGTCACCTCTGCAACCACTGAGACATAGAACGCGTGGTGAAAAGTACAAGCAAGCCAGACTACTCCAAACACACCTGAAATATGGCGCTGCAAACTGCCCCGAACCAACACAAACACTAACACATTCAGGCACACTAGCACACAACCAGTTTCACGAGCGATGCGTGTCTGCTCCGCTTCGGCCAGCCTTGAGATCGACTGAACTTATACAGAGCAGCGCGAAGGAGAGCACGCCAGCTGTTCAGGGCTACGGAGCGCTGTTCGAAGACAGGCGAAACGAAGTGCAACCATGCTGATCAGAACGACTTAAGCCAAGCGCATCCGAATACTATTCAACCAAGCAGAGCACAGCTAACCGAGGCGAGTGTTATACGTTGTTGAAATGAGCGAAGTCTGATACGATACTGTACCACTACATGGGATGAGCAAAGAGACTTCTAACCCACTCACTCCTGAACAAAACAAAATAAAGCATGCGCGCTCAGACGAATGAAAACGAACTGTCTACTGTATGACCCGATCGGTAAGCATGAAATTGGAACTTGCGCTGCCTCCGAAGACAAACATGAAACTCACGCCTACCGCTAACATCCGTGCTCAATCTGGACCTACGCTACGGGGGATTAAGACAAGAGCAGGCACGCCATCCACTGCGAACTAATGCTAGCACAAGGTGAAGATAGGGTAAACAGTTCATCGGCAACGCAACTGTATCAGGAGACCCCAGAATCGAATCGATAAGTCGGATCGGCGACCGAAATGGATCGGATCGGCGGAAATCGGCAGCCGAGTCGGGAGAAGTCGAATCGGCAGAAATCGGCAGGCTAGCAGGCCTCCATCGAGGAATCGGAATCCAAATCGGAATCCGAAGTCGAACCGAATCCGAATCGGAGGCCATCGGAATCGAACCGAATCGAATCGGAGGAATCGAAGCGAGCCCTGCTGTATACCCAGCGAGGCTAATATGAGGCCCGCTGAGCTGGGACATGCGACCCAACTGCCCGATGCCGAGAGAACTGAGCTGGAACATGCGATACGCAACGGCAAACGCATTCCGATGCGCAAAGTGTCGTAGGCAGTGGGTGAGCGCACGGCTCCAGACAGGAGCGGCAGAAACACACACGGACTGTTGACGTGAATTGTTTTCAGTGACCCCTCGGTTGGCCCCATCTTGGGCGTGGCTTCATGGGGGGGTCATAAATGGGGGGGTCAGAAACGGTCCCCTTTCGTGCCCCTTTCGAGCCCCTCCGGACCCCCAGGGGGCTCGTTTAGGTACCGTTTGGGTACCTTTTCGGACCACCCTCGCCACCCCCCCATTTATGACCCCTCCATTACGCAACGCCCAACCATCCCCAGATTGCTTGATCCGGAGATCATCGCCTGGTTCACCAACGCCTCGCCCGTCGCCTCTAGGGGGCGCATCGTCGTTGCGATTGCTCGGACGGGTGTCCGGGTCGGGCAGAGGATATTTCAATGTCTGGGCCCTGTGAACTTTTCCTGGGCGAGGGCCATGCAAACTTTTCAGCTGTCTCATCTGACAGGCCCTGTACACTTGTTAGGGCTCATGTAATGTGCGTTCTGGCCATGTCAACTTTTCCGGTAAAACAAAGCTAGGATCGGGATAAATCGCTCCAAAGCGTTCCGGAGCGCTCTCAGAGCGTTCCGGAACGCTCTGGAGCGGCCGCGGCGCCCAATACATCCCGATCCGAGTTTGTCCCGATCTTCGCGTCGTCTTATCCGGGCCCCTGCCCCAAGGGGCCCCCTAGGGCAATTCCTGGCAGGGCCCGGGCGGGGGCGGCGCCCTGGGAGAAGGAGCGGGGGGGCCCTGCGGTCGTCGGCCGCGGGTCATTCGGCCACACTCCAACCCATGGAGCGAGGCCGAAACCCGCTGCACGGGCGGAATATACGAGACCTATGTTGCATCACAGCAGCAATTCGGCCTCTGACTTTCGCCCTGGGCTCGGTTTAGTGAAGTGATGCATTTCGTGGTCCTTACGTGGGAATAAAACATCACTTCACTAATCTGGGGCCCCTGGGGCCTCCATGGGCCCTGGGGCCCAGGATTAGTGAAGTGATGGTTTTCGGGCCTCGGAGAATAGGCCGCGCCGAGGGTCGGCCGAGCGAAGCAGGGAGCGGCAGGGCGGCTTCTCCCTAATGCCAAGAGCTTCTCTTTGTGAACTTGACCCTGTCCTGATCTTGACTACGATGATCTCCCAGTCGACAGAATTTCGCCACCGT